AGTCCATTAAAATAAGGTCTCGAGACTGAGTCCGAGACCGAGTCTCGAGTGCACAACACTGCCTCCAGCACACAAACATGCAGTTTAGTATACGAGGGTGCTGAAGTAAATAGTTATTATAATCAGTTGTGTAACAAGCAAATTAAAATAATACACATTTATTATTCACAATATGGAAAGAGGAAAAACATAGTTCGTTAAGAGCATGACACAAAAATGCCATTAATAGGCTTATTTAAGTCCTTTTTATTTATTTTTTTGTTATTTTCATCCATCTCCCACATGTGTTTTGGCAAAGCAATATCGGTAGACATGTGGGACAGGCATGATTTTTGACCCCTTCGTTAAGTTTTGTTTTGTAGAAAGCTTTTATAAAAATTGAATTTCGTTATGTATCATTTGTATCTTATTTTTAATCAACGTTTTATCAATTAATTGCCTGGATTTAATACATAAGAAGCAAATATAGCAGACAATATAATCAGGATATGGAGGCGCCGGCAAGATTGCATTGCTCGTAAACTGGAGCTCTTCTCAGCTTAAAAATTTCTCATTTTAAACGAAACAATTCAAAACGAAAAGAAACCGACAACTCTCTGCTTATATAATCCATATGAAATGTGCATTTCTCTCTATAGGCGTATTAACTACTGCGGTCACTATTGCAGCCGACCAGACACCAATAAACAATTAAACTGTCTTGGCCTTACTATATTTGAAACATTCAAACTCATTAATTTTGCCGGTTCCTTGTGACAGCTTTTGCGTTATTGGCAGCGTCACCCTCTGGTTATATGAACATGGCCAACGTGATCTCATGAGAATACGTATGTATTTGTACGTAAAGTGTCGTTCTATCATACGTATATATAATTACGTTTTATATGCGCAGAAACGTATAATACTGACGTATTTACAGTACTAAAACGTAAAATATTTACATATTGACAGCACAAAAACGTCATTTATTTACGTATGAACAAATCCACCGACGTACACATTGTACATATCACAATATCGTAGCATTATGTTTTGACTCTATTGCATTCCACTGTCTTATTAATGAAGTTTTCAGTCACATTTATTGATATAATACTCATAAATATTAACATTTTGCTCGTTTCGCCTGCATGGTGTTAAACAATACACTATAAAACCTTAAAAATACATTATTTAACGTTACTCGTTCAACCATTTTGTAATGGTTTATTTACCTTGAGACACATAAAGCGTTTTCTCCTATAAAACGACAAAAATTCACAAAAGACATCAATTTTATTAGTTTGATGTAATCCAAATCTTTAGAATCCATAGTTGTTTGCAAGAAATGCAAGTTTGTCTCCTAATTCAGCCTCTTATCCAGTCGTGATCTCTCCATTCTCAGCAGCGACCGTACATGTCAAATCCCGCGCTGGTGATGAATTCAAATTCAAAAATTGCACCCTCGAGAAGCGATACGTCATCTTTTACGGCAGTGATATCAAACGTTCATTGGCTCTTCCCTGCTTCGTCACAGTTTGCGACATGAATGACTGTGACACTCATGTCGTAAACTGTGACCAATGAACGTTTGATATCACTGCCGTAAAAGATTGGTTGGTTAGTTTAGTTCATTTGAAAATGGTAAAAAGGGAAATTATACAGATATCTTTATGATATAGAATATACGTAAATAGTTTACGTTTTGTAGCTGTAAAAACGTAAAAATGTTACGTTTAAATGTTGCAGATACGTCTATATTATACGTTTCAGCATCTATCCAAACGTACTAAAAAGTACGTTTTCTACCTTTGCAAAAACGTAAAATACCTACGTATTAACAATGAGACCTGGCTGACATGGCGTCACCACCAAATCAGCACCGAAAACATCTGGATTTTTTAGACAATAATCACACAGCCTATTTGATATTCTATAAATAAATCAACAAATCTTATATTCAGGATTGAACACAGTTGATTGAACATCAATTAATTTCTTAAATTATCCATTGACTATGTTCTGGCCCGCCATGTACTGTCAAAAATATTTTTTGACCTGATGCCATCCCCTGAAATAGTCCTTTCCTTGTAAAGAACATTCCAACTGGAACATCTCTGCTGAGTGAACATGTTACATTGCACACATAACTCTGAGCAATATCCCAGATCTCTCATCAGCACACATGTACAACATACTCTGACTTCACAAAATACATTTCGAAATTATTATGAAAATGAATAAAGAAAAATGATTCTAAAAAATAACATAAACAGTAAAACTTTAGTCTTTAAAAATATGAAATATGATTTTTAAAAGATAAGTTGATATCTAATATAACGCCCAGGTCTTTAACTGTAGGCTAAAGGATTAAGTTACAGTGTATCCTTCTGCGTACAGGTTTTTGGTCCAATAATACCTGTCTTAGCTGAATTTAATAGAAGAAGATGACAGGTCATCCAATATTTTATATCTGCAACACATTCTGTCAACTTAGTTATCATTGGTTATCAATAGTATCATTGGCATAATTATTTCCATATTTTCTTGCAATATTTTGACGATTATACTGTCAGTTATGTTTCATGGACATGCAAGTTCTTTTCATTAGTCACATGTCTTCCTTTGTTTGTTGGATTTTTTCTTTTTTCTTTTAAACACAACATCAATTCTGGTGAGACCCAACACACACAAACAGAACTTAACTTCAATGGGCTCTATGCACGGCGTTATTTCCGGTGAAGGATTAGGGATGCTTGATAACTTCCGCCGATCGTAGAGTCCAATGCAATAGCGAGAATTTCTATTGAATTTTATACTCCATGGTTATACTAATGAAACGTTAGTCACAAAAACAGATAAAACAGACACCCCTCGTTGTGTTTATGCTTCTTTTTAAAATTACATCTAAACATATGTACATTTCGTTTCAAAGACGGGAGGACAGTAAATATTAAAGACTCTGCCATAATCCCGTTTTCTCCGGTTTTCCTCCGCTTTAATCTACACAACCGGAAATGGACGAGCATCCTTACGTCAAATGCGGAACTTATGCGTGCATATAGCCCATTGGCTTTATGCCCAGCTGCACTACTTCCTGAACTTCAGCCAGCTCCTTGTTTCCTGTCTGCCATTATTGGCCAAATTGATTAATTCAGGTGTGTCTGATTATTGTTGCCATGACTACTGAGGTCAGGCACACCTGAATTAATCAATTTGGCCAATAATGGCAGACAGGAAACAAGGAGCTGGCTGAAGTTCAGGAAGTAGTGCAGCTGTGCATAAAGTAAAAAGGATAATGAGATGATTGGTTAGTGTACAGCTGAAACTAATGAGTGTCCATGTACAACCAACTGTTTTGCTGGTTCAGGTGTGTTTAATTGGGGTCGGAGGCGGAGCTAAACAAGACAGTGGCCCTCCAGGACCGAGTCTGGAGACTCCTGCTGCACAGTGTCTTATAGGAAACCATCAGATGTGACCATGTTCATTCCACCCACAAGTAATTATCCGGGTAAATAGTAGTTTATAGGGAGTTAATTATGATTGAGAATATAAATACGTTTAGTCTTTCTAGAATATCTAACGGTTGTTGCTGTTTTTTTTTGTTTTTGTTTTTTTTTACTTTAAATGTAATTAAGTGTCTACTTGTTATTATCTTTGTGAGGACCAGTTTGAGTTGTATACCAGCAGAGTGAGGACACTTTGAGACCACTTTAAACACCAGGGGGTGTTGTATACCTAAAACTGCTAGTGGGAAAGATTAACCCATGCTCATAACTGTTTTGATATGGCTAAAAAACATATTATGTCACTGTTTTCACGAAGTAATGTCTAGAGTCATGAAATTGTTATTTTTAGACTTTTTAGTTTTTGTCCTGTTGTTTTATGTTCAAGGCTATTTAAAGCAGACTACACTTATCACTTTTCCTAACGGTGACTATAACCGGCCTATAATGACCACAATTAGAAGGGGAAATATAAATATTTGGGTGGTGTAATATTATAATAAATTGTAAGGCACCTAGTTTTGATGGGTATATGAGAGTGTATTGTATCAATGAATGTCCTCTCAAAGAAATATGTACAAAAATGACTGTATTGGGTCACATTTGCACATTTTTCTCAGTTCGCAGGATAGCAAACTGTTGCATTTCCTTTTTGCTGCTATGTCTTTGGACATCCACCTGTATGGTAAGTTAAGTTTATGTGTATATATGTGTGTGTGTATGTAAAATCTATGTAATGTTTATACCCTCTTATGCAGTGTTAAATTTGTAAATAAATAATTGCTGCATGAAAACCGCAATTAAAAGGTGCTGTGACCGACACTGACCACACAAGGTGCATAGGTTTTCGGGGGAAAATACAAAGACATCACTAAACATGAAAGCACAATTTGATTTATTCATTTATTTTAAACAATACTGTATGAACAACCATAAATGATCCTGTACAAAATATGAAATGTCTTAATCGGATAACAGTCAGGCATCATAACACAAGATAAAGAACATAAAGAAATGACATAAAAATATATCAAAGTAAATAATCAATAAATAATAGACTAGGGATTCTCAGCAAGTTTATTTGTATTCTAATGTTATTACTTTTCAACTCTGTTATTATTTAAGAAAAAATAAGAGATTTAAACCAACCGTGTTATTTAATTTTAAACCGTGTTCTTTTTTGCAAACATAGCTTGCTTTGCAGACATTTTTTACAACTTAAAAGTACTTGCTTTAAAGGGATACTCGACTTTTTTTTTTTTTTTCGAAATATGATCATTTTACAACTCCCCCAGAGTTAAACTGTTGAGTTTAACCTTTTTTGAATCCATTCAGCTGATCTCCGGTTCTTGCGGTATCACTTTTAGCATAGCTTATGTGGCGGGCAGTACAAAAGAGAGAGAGAAACAGAAAGAAAAATCGACTATGCCACCCTGGTCGCTAAGCCAGGGAAAGGGTCCTATTAAAGACACACAGGTTCGGTGTCTCCCTTATATAAAGACTCTGAGACGTGGATATAGAAAAATACAAAAAGATTCTTTATTTAGACAAAGATAAAAATGCTGGTGTGCCAGTCAGTTAGCTTAACTTAGAACATCACACAATAACAGCTCACAGGGCTCGTGATCACCAGAAGCAGGATGAGCTAGTGCCAGACGTCGCTAGTCTTAGCGATGGTAAAGGAGCACCCACACGTGCACCACACTTCACACTTAATCACGTCAACTAAGACCAATCACTGTGGATTGCAGACCACACACTGTGTCTCATCAGGACCCGTCACCAAAATTGGACAACTAGCCCTCCTGCACCGGGCTCACCGTGCCTGAAACACAAGAAATAAAGAATTACAAAAATAAATCAACAAAATAAATCAAACAATCATACTCATGGGTACCCAATGTACAGGACACCACATACGAGACATACAATACTATGCGCAACTAGACAAAACACTCCACAATCCACTCAAACCTGCACTCATCAGTGTCAGTGATTGTGAATGGATCGCTACGGGCCCACAGGAACAGTCTCCCTAGGCCGGTTACCACTCACAATCCCTCTTTTCCTTGGAACCAGTCAGGGATAACTCACAGTGAGCAAAGAAAAATAAACATTATTCACAATACAAGCAAAGCACAAAAACTAGCACCCAAAAATAAAGAAACAAAACATCAATTACAAAACGATACATCAACAAAATCACAAATAATAAAACAACCCCAAAAAAACACAGAATGTAAATTATACTGAAACAGTTTCAGTATAATTTACATTCTGTGTTTTTTTTTGGGTAAACTAAACAATTAATTACACACACCCAACTAATACAGCCAAATAACTCAAACAAAAACAAAATAAAACATCAGCAGTGCGGAAGCGTGCTCAGATGTGAGCAACTGCACTGAAGCATGTTGATAAGGAAAAGAACACAAAAAATAAAAATAAATAAAATTGTAATGGGAACAAAACAGCAGCGACGACAAATCCTAGAGCCGGTAAGTGTAGTCTTCAAGTGCCCTTAAAACGGCAGATCAAGTCATCTGCAAAAGCCTGACTATGAGCTAAAATATGCATAGCATTAATTTACTATTGTACAATTGCTGGCACATACCAAACATGCGGAGATCGCGCCACTCGTCCAGTCGGCAAGAGATGAACAGTCATGATAAGCTGGAATACACAAACCCCATAATAATAACTATACGCTCATTAATTAAATACAGCCGAAAGGGCCAGAGAGAGAGACCTACCAGGAAGTCAAGCAGCAATACACCCCCGATGCTGAATGCAATTCATACCCGAAACGGTCGTCTACGGCAACCAGCGCGTGTTGCCAGGCATGCAACCCTCAGCACAACGAGTGCTTTTCTGCAAACAGCCCAGAACCTGACAAGAGTAACACTCAATCTAATGTTCGTTAGGCTCGAGCCTAAAAAAAAAAAACAGCCGTCACACAGAGCACCAGACAGTCGCAAAAATAATGACGTGCTAGAACGCGGTCGCAGTTTTTTGGTGGTTTTTACTATTTAAAACTTGACTCTTCTATAATTACATCGTGCACTAAGACAAACGGAAAATGTAAAGTTGCGATTTCTAGGCTGATATGAACTATACTCTCATTCCTGCGTAATAATCAGGAAACTTCACTATCGTACTATGAGTGCAGCAGGCGTAAGGTTGACGCAGCGCCTGAAAATAGTGCCCCGCTTCCAACGTGACCAGGACTAAGTTTGTGTAGTCATCGCGCTTGCTGCACTCATGGCACGGCAGTAAAGTTTCTTGATTATTACGCAGGAATGAGAGTATAGTACCTAGTCATATCAGCCTAGAAAATCGCAACTTTACATTTTCCGTCTGTCTTAGTGCACGATGTAACTATATAGAAGTTATATATAACTATAGAACTATAGAAAATAAATGATGAATTCCACAAGGATGGACAAACAGTTTCAAACCATTTTAATGATTATTTTATTGACTCAGTGAATGAAATTATTCAGCATGCCTCTGGACTGCATCATCCTTGTTTACCTCAGCCACCTGTCAGTGATCATGAAGCTTTATATTTTAAAAGCATTTGATGGTTTTAAAACAGATAAAATAATACAATCCCTATCAAATTCAAAAGCTAAAGACTTTTGGGGAATTGATAGCTCTTTAATTAAAAAAACATAGGGAGATTTTTACACCAGTTATTACGTATATCGTGAATAAATCAATTGAAGAGAGCATCTTTCCCAGTGTATTTAAAACAGCAGTTATAACTCCTATATACAAATCTGGATGTAAAAATGAAATAAGCAACTACAGGCCTATTAGCATAATGCCTGTAGTATCTAAAATACTCGAGAAAGCCATCATAGAGCAGCTAACTGATCACCTCGACCGTAACAATTTGTTGCACCCCATGCAGTTCGGCTTTAGACGTAACCATTCCACCGATGCAGCCTGTTGCTATCTGACAGAGAATATAAGGGCCAGCTTGGACGGAGGGGGCACAGTGGGGGCCGTGTTTTTGGATTTACGCAAGGCATTTGACACGGTGAACCACAGTGTCCTCCTGTCTAGGCTTTCTAAGTATAATCTGTCTATAGAGACATTAAACTGGATACAATCATATCTAGCAAACAGGATGCAATGTGTGAGGGTGAAAAATATATTGTCCACTCCGAAGCCCAGCACAACTGGGGTCCCGCAAGGATCAATTCTGGGACCCTTGTTGTTTAGTATTTATATCAATGATCTCCCAGCTGTGTGCAAGGGCGTGGATATCATCATGTATGCAGATGATGCTGTCATCTACACACATGGGAGGGATACGGAGCAAGTCGCCACTAAATTGTCCTTAGCTATGGACAAAATAGGAAATTGGCTAAACTCTTCTTGCTTGACACTAAATACTAAAAAAACTGTCGGAATGTATTTTGCTAAGTCAAAAATTTAAATATGTGCCTAACATCTATTTTAAAGGATTAGTTCACTTTTGAAAAAACTTTTGCTGATAATTTACTCACCCCCATGTCATCCAAGATGTCCATGTCTTTCTTTCCTCAGTCGAAAAGAAATTTAGGTTTTTGATGAAAACATTCCAGGATTTTTCTCCATATAATGGACTTCAATGGGAACCGGATGGTTCAGGTCCAAAAGATAGTGTTAATAACAGTTTCAGATGCAGCTTCAAATGTCTTTAAACGACACCAGACGATGAATAAGGGTCTTATCATGCGAAACGATCGGTTATTTCAATGCTTATTCCAAAAATGTAACTTTTCTAAGGACAAATGCTAGCCTTTCTCCATTCTGTGAGGCGCGTTTGCAACGTCACGTATTACGTAATTACGTTCAAAAGGTCACGGGCGACGTAGCCAGAAGTACAAAGTCAGAGTGTTTACAAGTTGAACGCATAGGTTGAACGTGAAAACTAACTCAAACGCCGTTTACAAAAAAGGAATTAAAAGGTAAAACAACGATGTCGGACGATTTTGATTCTGTACTTCCGGCTACGTCGCCCGTGACCTTTTGAACGTAATTACGTATTACGTGACGTTACAAACGCGCCTCACAGAATAGAGCTAGGCTAGCATTTGTCCTTAGAAAAGTTACATTTTTGGAATAAGCTTTGAAATACCGATCGTTTCGCATGATAAGACCCTTATTCATCGTCTGATATCGTTTAAAGACATTTGAAGCTGCATCTGAAATAGTTATTAACTGTCTTTTGGACCTTGAACCATCCGGTTCCCATTGAAGTCCATTATATGGAGAAAAATCCTGGAATGTTTTCATCAAAAACCTAAATTTCTTTTCGACTGAGGAAAGAAAGACATGGACATCTTGGATGACATGGGAGTGAGTAAATTATCAGCAAAAGTTTTTTCAATAGTGAACTAATCCTTTAATGGGCAACAAATTACCATTGTGACAGAGATTAAATATTTAGGTGTCCATCTAGATCAAACGTTAAGTTTTAAAAGACATATTAAAAGAATGACTAACTCTATTAAATATAATATTTCTATTTTTAAACACATTAGGAATCGTTTGACAATTGAGGCAGCTTTCATATATTTTAATGCTATGATTTCCTCACACATCACATATTGTTTGTCCTGTTGGTCTCAGGCCAACAAAACCACAATTAAACCACTTAGATCAGTCTATAATTAGGCATTAAAGGTGCTTGACAGAAAAACCCAGCACTATCATCATTGCAACATTTTACGTAAATATAAAGTATTAAGTTTTGATTCCCTAATTTTATTTACAAATTTAAGAACTGTTTTTAAAATTGTTAATAACCTCGCTCCACCCTTAATGAAAAATTTCATAAAACTTTATTCGGAACAAACAAATCGGAACTTCTCGATCAACGGTTCATAAAAACGTGGCTATCCCGAAAAGATCCTCCGCCTTTGCACAGACAGCTTATTCATTTAAAACTATAAAACAATGGAATCAACTCCCCAACAGTCTAAAGCTGTCTGTAGATGTGAACCATTTTTCTAAAAACTTAAAGAAATACATTCTTGAGAACCAGCTGTGTCAGCATCAGTGCGTTTAACATTATGAGTAGAGATGGTCTTTTGAATATGTTCTCTCATTTTGTATCTGATTGTTTTTATATGTGTGACATTATTAGTTAAGTGATTGACAGTTGCGGCATCCTATCAGGGGATAGTATCATCTATTTAATGCGGGTTGGCTGTGTCCGGAGATGCGTCGCGTCTTTACTCCGCCTCCCCGCGTGCGTCATTCACTCGCGTCTCAGTTGTCAATCAGCACTTTTCCGGCGGTGCACGTTATGAGTTCAGAGTGAGTGTCTGTTCACCCCTCAGTTAATCAGCGGTCTTGATGATTGCTGTAAACAGTAGCCAGAGGGAATTGTATGCGAGGAATATTCTCTTGTGGCGTGTACATCTTTTTTTGAATCCTAATGTGTGAATAGTGTTTAGATTTTGCTTTTATCTAAATGTGTGCGTATCCTTATCGACCTTGATTATTTTATTTTTATTTTCTCTGTGGTCATTGTTGTGTGTTTTTTTTATTAAACTCAGTTTATTTGTTTTCTCAGGAACTGAGGTGGCCAGGCGGAAGGACCTTCTCTTGTATGGTGATAGCAGTGGTGTTGCAGTGGGTGACACTTTTGAAGTGCCTGTGTGTGTGTGATTTGGTGCACGGTGACGTGTGTGTGCGTGAGTTGGATTGTGCTTTTGGAAAAGCCATTAAGTGGTCCTTCCGCCGGCAGACTCGGCCTGGTGGTTTGGTATATTGTTTGTTTGTATTACCTGTAAATTGAGCTTTGTAGAGTTTCTTGCTGTTACTCCTACCCTCGTGGGTAGAGGACTGCTGATGTAGCCATTATATATTGCCCGCTGTGACGACACCTTTTGTCAATTGCCATTATTTGTGCATGTAGTGCTGTGCGCTCATTTTTACAAGGACATACCATTTTTTAACTCTTTTATATATTAATAAAAACTATTTTTTGTAAATTCTTTGTACATGTCTCTGACCTTCCTGGCACACACGAACCTGTGACCTAATGCAAATTGCTGGGTTATTTAGATATTCCCTGAATTATTCAGGGTGGCGTAGTCGACAATTATCACTGGAAAATATAAAGTAAAACCCTATATCGCTTACTGCCACATATGATTTTCATAGACTAATATGTGTAGCTGATATTACTATTGGTAGTTGTTTTGCAATGTTCTAATGTCTTAAATTGTGTGCACCTGCCCGGTGTCACCACCCTTGGACTATCCGTGTGTTTTGATTCACCACGTGTTCCCCTCGTCTGAGTTCTCCGCCCTCATCTGTTGCCATGGACACTCATCACCTCCCGCACAGCTGATTGTCATTTTGTAATCACCGTCACTGTGTATTTAAGTTCCTGCCTGTCTTCACTCCCTTGTCCGGTATTGTTTGTGTTTTACACGCAGTCTACCTGTTCCTGAGTTTCATTTATTAAAATTAGTGTTCTATTAGCTTCTATCTTCCTCCTCGTCTTCCTTGACCAGCCCCGTGACAGAATACCGGACCGAAATTCAAGATGAATATTGATTTGTTTATTGACTTTATTGACTTTTTTTCACTTGCACTCTCCAGCCCCCTCGATGACGAAACCCTGAAGACCCTGTTCTGGATCGGGGCCACCTTCCACCAGCACTTCGACCTCCCAGACATCTCTAACCTGGACTGGAAGGAGGCCGTTTCCTGGTGTCTGGAGAGCGTCGAAGCCCGATCCAGAACACTGCCAGACCCAGAGCCGGAATTACCACCCTCGACCGCGGAGATCTCGTGCGTGCCCCCCGCAGACGGAGAGCTACCACCCGCCGCGACGCGTCAACCAGTGCCCGAGACGAAGAGGACAGAGTTGACCCTCGCCCCGGAGGAGGAGCTCCAACAGGAGTCTGACCAGGGGTGTGAGCCCACAACATCTGCGGACGAGGGGACTAATTTCCTGGAACTGGAGGACTGGCTGATGAAACCCAGGACACTGGATATCGTTCCCGCCCTATCCCACCCGTCATCTGCATCTATTTCATATTTTTAACCGTCCTGTGATGACTTCTGTCCTGCC